CGCAATTTTTCTATTTCCATGGCCATGCCTTTCCTTAAGTCTAAAATTTAAATCATTACACAATTAATACAAATGAATTCAATATAACTTATGTGAACCTGCATGTGCACTTCCATCACGTTTTTAATATTAACTGTTTTTCTGCTTCTGCTTTTTGATTCTATATGCCACAAGTATTATATAATAGCTGTAAAATTATTCTACATACCGTACCTCATCAATGTCCTTTTTTTCAAAACAGTCTTCCTATAACATAAAATGCATGAACAAACATGTTCAGAAATGTTGCATCAAAGCAATAGCTTCACATGCTATATTACTAGACATTTCTCCTTTCAAATTCATACCTTTTGATATTCTTCTTTTAGGCTTATTTTAGCCTCTTTCTCTTCCAGAAATTGCTCTGTCTCCTATTAAAAGCAAGAAATATAAAGAAATGTAATAAGAATTAATTTTACTTTTTCTTCTTTTCCTTCTCTTTCCCACATTATCCAGTATCCAATGGTGAGCTTTTTCAAATCATTCTTTTTCAAAAACTGTAAATTATCCATCAGCTGTGTAATGAGGACTCCAGTGAGATGATATGGAAAGGAGCAAGTGATGCTAATGGAACCACCATTGATATATCTTATCTTCACTAGTTTACCAGATGTCATTGAAAGTATATCTTTAATATCATCCAGTGTTTTCTTGTCAGGTTTCCAGTCAAAAACGTAAGTTATTGTTTCACACTGAAGAGAAGGGTAAGTCGCAGAAGCTTTGAGCTCTTTTTTAAGGTAATCAGCAATGGGATTAGACTGAAAATATTCCTTTGATGTATCAAGGTATTCTTTGATGTGCTTATCAGCTGCTTCAATTTTAAACTGTTCCACCACTCCACAAAAAGGCTCAATATCAACCAATGAGCATTCTTCATCGACAACACTTAGTGTGCTTGAAATATCTTCACACTGTTGTATCTTTTCCTTAAGTTCATTGTTCATGCTAATGATAAAGGCTTTTAACTTTTTCAATTCAATTTTTGCATCTTCAATAGCCTCGCAAACATTAGAAGACATTTTAGCATATGACTTTCTAAGAGTGGTGAATTCTTTTTTCTTGCTTCTGGGAATGGCAATTTCAACTACATTGTATGAATGCATAAGAAAGTTTGTATCTTTAAAATAATAAATATAGGCTTAACATACCAGTTTTAGCTGTCAGTGAGACTGCCTCACTTGATTCAGTATTTGAAACAACTATACAAGGGAAAAGATCACATTCAATTTACCCGCCATAATCATTATTATTATTATAATAAAATAAACAAAAATAAAAACAGGCTAGATTAGGTTACACAAAATTCAAAAATATTTAGGCCATTGGTCAAATTAATTGCGTCAATCATTGTTGTTATAATAATTATTTTATTAACAAAAATAAATTTACGCACAAGACTGAATTTTGAAGTATACATAAATCTAAAATTTCCTACACATTAGGTATGACTCAAATTTTTCAGAGCTGCTAATATAGAGCATGCTACCATATGCTACAATGGACTGCTTCTTCATGTCACTTCAGTGGCTCCGAGAGCTGCTGAGCTTTTGACCTTAAGCAATATCTTTTGTGAAAATTTTAGACTATTTATGCATGCTTAAATGGCACCATCAATATCAAGGGTAGTTTGAAAGTCTACCTTCTTCAGCTTTAATGAGTGAATTTTCTTCACTGTTGTAAAAAATTACCCCTATAATAAAGAATAATTTAATTATGAAGTAGATACTATCAAT